TATTTTTAAGAAAATTTTAAGAAAAATATTTTTCTTAAAAATATTTTCTAAATTTTTTATTTTAAATTATTTGGTTGTAATTTGAAAATTAATTAGAAATATTAAAATTTTTAACTCATAAGACCATAAAAATAAAAATGCCAATAATTTTATATTTTAAAAAATTTTATTGTTAAATATGAGAATAATGCGAAAAAAAAGGTAAATTATGACTGTCGCCAGTAACCGGTGGTGGTGGCCTGCAGTGGTGAACGATGAGTGGTGGTGGTGGCTAGCAATGATTAATAAATTAATAAAATATGGATTTATAAGATTATAATAAGTTTGTCAAAATCTGGAATATATTTTATGCTCTTGAAGATGAAAAGTCATTTTTCTTAAAAACGATTTTATTATTATTATTATTATTATTATTGATAGGACAAAGTTTCCACGGTAAGATTCTAATTCTTAAATAAGATTAAACAAAATTTATAATTTATAATTAAAATAAGATACAACTTTTTAACTATAATTCATAATGTATAGATTTCATTTAATATTGTTGAAATATAATTTTATTTTATGTAACGTTTTTTTTTAAATTTATTTTATATAACGTTTATTAATATCCATAATGTATATAATATCAATATTTATCATTTAAATTTGTATTTAATTAACCTTATTTTTCATGTTTGTCAAAGTTTAATATAAAATTTTGTGCGTGTTCAAACATTTGTGTTAAAATATTAATATGATTAATTAATTAAAGTAATATATTAAATATTAAGTTAATATAAAAATTGATTAAAGTAATTCTCTTGCTATACGTCAACCCCTGAATTAAAATTTATAAATAGAATATTTTATAAAATAAATATTTTATTTTATTTAACTACTATAATTTAAATTTAAATAGAAAACCAACATGATCAATTAAATTAAATTATTTTTATTTTTTTAACCAATAAAATTTAAAGTCTTAAAGTTATTTTTATCCATTTATAAATTTAGTGAAAATATATTTATAATTTTAATATTATCTCTCTTCATTCTCTCTCGTATATTATAGATACGGATTATAAATAAATTTCTTTCTTTTGTTAATCATCGTCACCTTCAAGTCAAACACTCACAAGATTGACAATACAATTCTATTACGATTTCCCTTTCAAGCATTATTAATATGTTTATAATTTATTAATGTGTATATTATTTATAATAAGATTACAAGATGTTTTATTTAAATATTCAATTAAAAGTTAATTAATTTTAAAAAATTACACGCTTATCATTGTGAATCTTACTTGCATTCTTTTAAAGTTTTAAAGAAGCGTTTACAAATGAATATTAAATATTTAAATTCATTTTAATTTTCTTATCATCAAGAAGTTAATACTTATCTCTAAATTGTTACCATAGTAATTGACAAATTGAATAAAAAACAAAACTCTAGTTAATACAAACATATATTACATTTAAAATACTTAGATCTCAAAATAAAAAATTATTGACAAGGAAAAAAATTACAAATTGATATATAAATTTAAATAAACCTTAAGGTATGGTATTTATAATAATCATAGTATATATCAATGACAAGTAGATAGTATATAATATTTTATTAATATAAAATTATAAATAAGCTTCAATGAAGCTTGAACAGTTCTCCGTGCTGACGTGTAGACTGCAGCAACGGAACGCAAAAGCTAACTAAAAAGCAAAAACAAAGGTTGAAAGTCAACGGTGTTAAATACTAATAAAAGGAAAAGACAATATTATATATAATGTCGTACTCTGTTTGAGAATAACCAGATCTTTTCATGTATACAACAATAATAATATTTCGGTTAGCTGGAATTAGTCGATACCAAGACGATCTAATTTGTATTTTTAATAACAACTGATGATGTTTTGTATAATGTGTGTTTTATGTTTACTATATTCGTTATATACTCATTTTATATATATATATATATATAATTTATAAATTTTATTTAACTAAAATAAATATAAGTGATTTAATTGTATTGTATTTTTGCCATATATATTACTTGCAATGTTATTTATTATATACTTGAATTCTATTTTTATATAATGTAATTCTATTTTTATATAATGAAATGATCTTAGAATAAAGTTCAATCCAATCCTTACTACATAATTTATAAATATAGATTTTTAAAATCCTAATAGGTGCTCAAAAAGAAAATTAAGTTATCACTCAATTTCCAAACCTTTGCTCTCAATCCAAATCAATACCTATATACAACTATAATGAAAAATAATAATAAATTATTTTTACTGCTAGGTCAAAAAAAAGAAATGAGAAGACATTTGATAATGTAAATCACTTTGACCACAGTGACGGTATTATTCATCCAGTGTATCAGACAAAAGAATATATGCACATATTTTTAAATCAAACATCAAGAAAATTAAAATTACTTAATCATCAATAGACTATCTATTTATTTTATTAATCATCAACTAATAAACTGTAATTTTTTAATTGGCCGTCATTAAAAGTACTTTAGAACATTTTAAATTTCATTAAGAGTGATATAAGAAATCACATTATTTTCCCCTAATCCTATTTTTATATATAATACAGATAGATAGATAATATTTTGAAAAAATGTGCGATTTTATTCGGCTATATAAATTCTAAAATAGGTTTTATACATTCAAAATAAAGTTACAATATGTAATAGTAAATTAATTTAACAATATCTCAAAAAGAAAAAAAATTTTAAGGGAAAAATTTACAGATTTTTATGATAAAAAATCAGAAATTAACCGATCTTGTAAAAATATTAGTAAGACAGACAAACAAAAGCAAAAGTCAAATTTACTGAAGGGTATTTGGATTCTCTTGGCTTTGGATCTCCACAAATAGTTATTTTAACACTTGGTCCTTTTGTGTTGAGAGAACCAAAGGTTAATCTGAAAAAATATTAATTACACTTCATTAATTACTCCCACATCTAATAAAAATAAAGCCATTTTGACATTGATATTCTCTTGTGAGTATCTTTCAATTTTTTCTATCTTCATTTTCTGATTTTAGAATTCTACTATCAATGAAAAATTAATTATTTCCTATAAATTTTAGTTTTGTGTTTGATATATCCACTGACGCTTCATTTATTTCTGAAAAATAATTTATATTTTAAAATATTTTTAAGAAAATTTTAAGAAAAATATTTTTCTTAAAAATATTTTCTAAATTTTTTATTTTAAATTATTTGGTTGTAATTTGAAAATTAATTAGAAATATTAAAATTTTTAACTCATAAGACCATAAAAATAAAAATGCCAATAATTTTATATTTTAAAAAATTTTATTGTTAAATATGAGAATAATGCGAAAAAAAAGGTAAATTATGACTGTCGCCAGTAACCGGTGGTGGTGGCCTGCAGTGGTGAACGATGAGTGGTGGTGGTGGCTAGCAATGATTAATAAATTAATAAAATATGGATTTATAAGATTATAATAAGTTTGTCAAAATCTGGAATATATTTTATGCTCTTGAAGATGAAAAGTCATTTTTCTTAAAAACGATTTAATTTTTTTTATCAGAAAAATATTTTTTGTTGACTTATTTTACTGAACATCGATGAAAAATTATAGCAAATATTTTCTTGCAAGTTATTTTATGAAAACAAACAGATCTTAAGTAAATATTTCCTCCATCGTAAATATAAATAGTTTAAGATTATTATATAGTAATTAAAAAAATAATTAATTATTTTAAGTTATAACAAAAATGTTTATTAAATGTGACTAAATCACTCTCGAAAAAAAATATAAAAATAATCATTATATTTAATATAAATAAAGGTAAAATTAAAAAAAAAATATTAATTACTTATAGATATTCTTCAAACGATATTTACATTAATTCTGATAAATTTTAACTTTGTACAAGAATTAAGAAATGATTGAACCATCTCAATTCTAAAAAAATAAAAATAATTAACTAAATTATCCTTTAATTATTTATAATTAAGAGATATAAATTTTGATGAAAATATCTAGATAAGAGTAAAGTTAAAATAAACTAATTAATATTATCTTAATTTTTTAAAAAAGTAGTCTAAGTATAGCAAAAAAAAAAAAAATGTTAAAATGAATGGGACAAGGCCATAATCATTTAGAAATTTGATAATTTAGTCAATTATATATATACAATTATTATATAATATATATAATATATATATATATATATTATATATATATATATATAATGTACATAAAGAATTAAGTTTTTATTTAAATCTTTCTTAATATTAGTCTTTGTATTAAGTATGAAGGGTGATTCATATTTAACTCAACAATTAATATATATATATGTCACATAAAGGAATTATATTTTTTATTTAAATCTTCTTAATATAGTCTTGTATTAAGTATGAATGATTCATATTTAACTCACAATTAGAGCTATTCAAGAGTCAATCCATCAATTGAATAAAGAAAAATAAAATGTGTGGTTAATATACAAAATTATTTTATCTAGCAATTATAATTAGGGGTGAATATTCGGTTTAATCAAATCGGATGAATCAAGTTGATCAATTCGATCTGATCTAATAGATTTTTAGATGATTAAAATTAAATTAAATACTGCGAAAAATTTGATTCAATTGTTTCGAACTAAATTATTTATTTTAGGTATAAAGTTCAAACCCGAACCAAAATTAATAACCGTTTGCTTAATCGATTAAATTCATACCAAAAACTGATCACCCCCAGTTACAACTCTATTTCAAATTAGATTTTAACGGGGTTAGCGTAGTTCACTTTTGAATCGGTCGGGTGGCAACAATAATTACTCTACTTTTTTACAGTATCTTTTATAAAAAATTATATATATATGTTAGGAAAAAAAGAATTTATCATATACAAATTTGAAATTAGTAAAATAAATTTTATATCTGATAATACATTCATAATTATCTTTATGCGAAGTTTTATCTTCTCAAACATCTATGTATTATATAGTACTACTAATTTCAAATTAAATACATAAACTATCTATTCCGTATGACAATTAAAAACATATAATCGTTGAAGAAATCTAGAAAAGCAAGAATCCAACAATAACAATGAGAGCAGCTGCCTCTCGCTTTGAAAATTGGCTCTTCAAATTTCTTTAATGGAGAGAGCGTTGTTTTCCACGCGGCTTAATATCACAATTAGCTCCTTATTCAGTCAAGTTCTATTTGGCTTCTTCTGCTCTTTTTAGCTTTTCTCTTTCTGACCGATTCTTCAAGACGGGGGTGATATGTTGTACTAGAATTCGAGGGGAGAGAGAGCTCTGCCTTTTCTGTTCATTCACCTTCACTTTACCTTTCTGGGTTCTTTACTTCTTTCTCTTTAGCTGCTGGACGCAGAGGAAATGGCTGAATATATCTGTTTATGTAACAAGGTGCTTTCTGGTTCCTTTATTTCTTCCTTGTTTTTTTTCCCCTTTAAAGATTTGATTTTTTTTTTTTTTTGCTATCTGGGTATGAGATGTCTAACTAGCTGCTTACTAATTTTAGTACATAGTACTTTTCCCTTTTTTTAATTTTTGTTCCAGTTTTCTTGTAAATTGATGGGTATGAAAGATTTGGCGAAATGGGTTTGTATAATATCGCTTGATGCAGCGGTATGCATGTTCTGATTTGGCTTTGGCATTGGGTTTCTGCAGTGTTCTGCATTTGCGATTGCTTAGCTTACTTTAAGCTTACCTGTCCTAAATCCACACTATAAAACAATATGTGTTTTTTTTCTTTTACAAAGGTCTTATCTTTTATTGCTGTTTAGATAATATTTCAGATTCTATATTTATGTACCCTATTTTTCTTCTTTTATTTTTTATTTTTGGGTTTCTGGTGAACTCTTTTAAGTTTAACTTGTCTGAGCATGCCTAATTTAGATCAGATTGAGATTGTGGTTTTAGTTTCTTTTCAATAATTGCTTTTTCACAAACTTATTTGACATTATTTCTCCTATTCATTTGTAACATGTGAAATTTTTATTGCAGGATACAATAATCATAAAGGCTCCTAAGAAATCTCCCATTTTTTTAAGGATGATAGTTTTAATATTTGCCATGGTCTGTGGTGTTTATATCTGTTCAATCTGTTTAAAGCAGATAAGCACCCATAATAAAATTAAAATTGAGGATATTCAAGTTATTGAGAAGCCATCTTCTGACAATGAATCCAAACAAATGCAAATTCCAATCCTGCATTTTCCACATCCTGAAACTTTTAGCAGGTAATTGATAATTTCTTCATTGTTTGTGGATTAGGACTTGAAGATTTGTCTTAGTCATTTTTTCTTTTTCCAGGGCTGAATGTCTGCATAATCCTGTGAGATACTTTGCAATACTATCGATGCAGAGATCCGGCAGTGGATGGTTTGAAACCTTGTTGAATAGTCATGTTAATGTAAGCTCAAATGGAGAAATATTTTCTGTTTTGGATAGGAGGAGAAATGTTTCATCAATTATAAGTACTCTGGACAAAGTTTACAATTTGGATTGGTTAACTAGTGCTTCTAAGAATGAATGCTCAGCAGCAGTTGGTTTCAAGTGGATGCTTAATCAGGTAACTGAAGTGTTATACATTATATACTGTAGGCTAATAGTTTGCGTTTTTATTTTAGCTTTTTTGCTTTGTGGCTACTGAAAGATTTATGGTATTGGAAGTGAAATGATGAGGTTAATATAAACTTACCTTGAATATCCTATCAGTCATAGAATCAAAATGGCAAGCCTTTTTTTTTTTTTCCCCCATGAATTTTGTATATGAGTTAATGACTTTTGATCTGTTACTTTTTTTTTACTCTTTCAAGTAGAGCCTAAGTATATTGTGTATAAACTTGTTTCTGATAACAATGAGAGTAGCAAAAACTGATATAGAGTTTTTAGGGTTCTGTAACATTTTGAAGATACCTTGGACAATCTTTGACATCTTTGTTCTAATAAAAATGATGCATAATAGCTTCTTGTTTCAGCTGGAGTATTGGTTTTACAGTAAACTGTACTGGTATAAAAATGTAGAAGATAGCCGTCTTTCTTCATTTTTTGGAAGGGTTTTGATCTATTTGTATTTGGCACTGATTTTGACTCAGGTACCAGCTGATGCCTGTTTGGGAGGCATTGGTCCCTTGTGAATTCAATTTCTCTAGTGGTATTACAGGGTTTCTAATATGAAGATTCAAAGATATACTTGCTTTATAGTCTATCTATGAGCAGTTCTTTTAGTGCACTAGAAGAGCTCCTTGCAATTATGGAGACAAAGGTCACTATAAGTTGGTAGTCACTTGATACTGATTTTTGTGGGTTTAGAACATTGAATAGAAAGACTGGTATTTTTGCAATCAACTAATTTAAAAGAAGAGGAACTTTCTGGCCTTTGTGGGCCACAAAATATAGGCAGAGCTTATTGGTGGCTGAATAAGGTTTGCAAAAGAAAAGAAAGGAGCATGTGAGACTTTTTTTTTTTTTTTACTAACATAGAAGGGAGAAAAAAAAAATGAAAACTTGTTCTTCTGAAATGGAAAAATTCAGGAAGGTATGGCATATTGAGGAAACCTAAAGACGAAACTTGAATATCCTTCTATAAGACACCAATTACCGTTGGGTGGATATAGTCTCTGTTTAAATTTATTATAGGGTTAGAAGGATGGTCTTGCCAATCTCTTAATTTTGTTGCATTGGGAGAAAAGGCCAACTGTTATTTTTCATGGATTATGCAGGGATTAATGGAGCACCATAAAGAAATAGTAGACTACTTCAACAGTAGAGGTGTATCAGCAATATTTCTGTTCCGAAGAAACCTGCTGCGCCGGATGGTTTCAGTACTTGCAAATTCCTATGACCGGAATGCTAAACTACTGAATGGAACCCACAAATCTCATGTTCATTCAGAAGAAGAGGTCTGTACCTTGTTACGTCTCTTTGTCTCTATCGTTCTCCTGCATTAGAATAAACATGGCCTTGAACCTTTAGTTGTAATTTCTTGTAGGCTGCAATCCTTTCAAAATACAAGCCTACAGTTAATTCCACATTGTTAATTGCTGATCTAAAGGAAGTGGAGATTACAGCATCCAGGGCTTTAGAATACTTTAATAGCACTCGGCACATGATTTTGTACTATGAGGATCTCGTTAAAAATCACACAGTAAGTTATTAATAACAACCTCATTCTGCTCTTGCATTTGTTTGCTCGTATCTAATCCTGGTTAAATTTTTTATTTTTTTCAAAAGCTAGTTCGAGGTTCTGCTTTTTATTAATATTTTTAACTGTATGTACTGCTTTTGGGTTCCACGAAATGGCTTCCATCTTGATTTGATATCCACTTTTTAGTTAATATTATATCTACTGTTGATAGTGATATGAACTGTATCTTAGTAGCACCTCTGTTCATGCTGATGCAGAAACTCAAGGATGTTCAAGCATTTCTTCGGCTTCCACTGATGGAATTAACAAGCCGTCAGGTCAAGATACATAAAGGTCCATTGTCGGACCATGTCGAGAACTGGAAAGATGTGAATGAGACATTAACTGGAACAGAATATGAACATTACCTCCAGACTGACTATTAAAATTAACAAGCATGCTAACTTAAGGAATGGCGCATGTGAATAGGATTCAACTAATTTATCAGAGGATGCTTGAAAGACAAAAGTCCTATGCAGGTTTGAGTCTTGTAACTTGCGAATGGTGACTTCATGCAGAAATCCGAAAGAATCAGATTGCTTTCAAAGGCATCCTTACAGAACTCAATTTTGCTGTGACCATTAACTAGGTAATGACCAAGCTGACAAGAGTGTTGTATTTTGGTTTCTCATTTAAAAATTTTGACCATGCAGTGTTTGCTGCACTTAATTTTCTATTGTATTTTCAGCTTTTGTTGAGGTTCGAACTTGTTGATTGTATTGATCATGTTCTGGTTCATCACATGGACATAATGTAAATGTCTGCTAATCAATTCCAAGAAAATATGAGAAATTGTTTCATCATGATTATGCTTCCTCTAGTCTTTTGTAACACAAGTTGAGCTTTTGGAACTCTTTTATAACACAAGTATTATGTAGCACCTAAGACTTGATCATCCCTGGCATTGCCTTCCATATGGACACTATATGGAATCCAAAGTCAGATCCTCATAGTCATTAATGAATTTTTGATGCCCAATTCTACTGGATTCAATTAAATAGCGTTTGATCTCTAATAAATGGGCTATCTAGATTTTATTGAGTGACATTAAACCAAAAAAGTCTTTTTTTTCTCTCTTTTTATTCCATGAGCAAGATTCTCATGACCAAACATATGAAATAGTGATTATAGACAGACCATTTATTCAGTTTTTAACCTTTTTTATGCTATTGCTAGTTTCATGATTAGAGATGGAAGTGAGACGGGTATTTACAAAATTTGCAATATCCATATTCAAACTCATTTAAAATTTTAATGCTTATATCTGTTTTAAATTCTCTTTGAAATTCCTATACTCAAATCCGTCATAAAATTTTAATACTGACATCATTTTTCTTCTTCAAGTTTCATCTGCTTTCATTTATCAGACAATCAAAGAAATGACGGAATCAATGGATATCAAATGGAAGAATGACTGAAATTTTTCTGTTGGACGAAGACTTTACTTGTCAACCGGGAAAATTATTATCTGTTGGTCATAAATGACAGGGAAAACTTTCCCTGTCGGGCGGAAACGTTTACCTTGTCAATTTGTTGAAACGGTTCTAGAAAGTGTTGCGCTGCAGGTTTTTATAAACAGTCCAGTCCAGCATGCTTTAGAGTTTAGATGTTTTGTAAACAATGATTATTCTTTGACAGTCTTTTTTGTAATTTATGTGAATTATTGTTAGTTTGATTCTTGTTAATTCCTCGACAGTCTCCACAATTGAAGGATTGCCCTGGCTGTACTGCTCATCTCAACATTAATTTGGAGGATTACTACAGTTTGGCCCATACTCGTTTGGGCCTCTGCCTACTGTAGCATAGAAAAATTCTATAAATTTTATCGATGAGGAATAAAAATTCAGAACTCAATAGACTAAAATTACATATAGTTATTCTATTACTATTAATAAAGCATATATAATAATGGTTATAGTCAATCAAAATAAGTTTTTTTTAACATTATATTGTGACCGTTGTATCTTCTTTCCTAACGAATGGTAGGAAATACTCTCTTTCATGAAAAAATTTTTTTGATTGATTTGTTGAATAGATGGAGCTCATACAGTGGCTAAATATAAATAAGTCTTTCCAAAAATTGTTGGTGTTTAGCCGTGTTACCTTTATTTTATGACCCAAAAACCTCACAACCGTCCAGGCTATTGACAAGTATTGTCATGCAAATATATAATGAACACCCACGGTTCTGATACCAAAACCATGGTTTTTTTTGAAAATTAGGTTGGATTTACTTTGGAAAAAGAAAAAATATATGAAAATGATGTAGACAACTTAAAAATTAATTATGTGGTAGTTTTAAAATTACAGATCGATGTGTTTCACTTGAACTTGTCGGCCAAAAGAATTTGGCATTTGCAAACAAGCCATCAGCCTTTCATATTATAAGTGGAGAGTACAGCTTCATCCCTATCATTTTCGGGATCACAAGAGTTGTAAAAATATTTGATATACTATATATATATACTATAACACATTCATCAGTATTCCTATTCGTAAACACATTCATCAGTATTCCTATTCGTCAAAATATGAATTTCTTCTAATGTAAAATTCTTTTTTTGAGTCCTATTCGTCAAGTTTTTTATAGTAAAACTTAACTTTACAACTGGGTAGAGGCTAGCTGATGATTTTTATTAGTGATATCACTTTATATATATATATTTTAAATGTGAAACAAAGCGTTGCCTTTTGAAATAATTCTTAAATATACAACATAAAATACATATAATGAAAAAAAAATTGTAACTGAATTATATGTATTACTAGAGAAATTGGAAGCTTCATCCCTTGATCTTTCATCGTGCTAATTGTTGCTTTTTTTTTTAAGCCAATAAAAAATATTGAATAAGAGGAGCAAAACAAAAGGCCTATGGACTATGTATCACATGAGAGTTATCTTCTATTTCGAGCTAGTTTTGGTGTTTTGCCGCCCCCACTACTACTCCTTGGACATAGTTATCTTGACATTAATTCTCCACAATTCAAAGGTTGCATGGGTCATGCAAAAAAGCTAGTATTGCACTAACTCACTTTAACACGATTAATTAATTACACGTGTAATTAATTCAGTTTTATATATTTCAAGAGAATCTAAAACTTGACATCCAAGCTAATTGAGACTATAAATAGGAGTTCAGGGATGGTTTATAATCATCGTGTTTTCTTGCCTTCTCTACATACCCATAACTATAAGCCTCAGAAACCTTTCAACTTCCTTAATTGATATCTTTAGCTAGCTACAGTAATGGCAGAATTGCAAATCTTATGTAAATGTGTTCTTCTGCTTTCAATTATTATTTGCCACACACTTGCACCTCTTGAAGGAAGGCAAATTGCAAGCAGAGATGACTATGCTAACTATGATAACCCTCCAGTTATGAAAGAAGTTGGAATTATGCCAACTAGTACTAAAAGCTCTGTCCATGAAGATTCAGGTGCAGAGGCAGCATATGACAAAGATGGTTTACAGCCGCCAAGAACTGGCGGCAGTCCCGGCATTGGCCATTGATTATTTCTCAAAAAATTAAAGAATATGGTGATTCTGATATATAGCCAACTAGCTACTAAAAGCTCTGTCCATGAAGAGTCAGGTGCAAGAGCAGCATATGAACAAAGATGGTTTACAGCCGCCAAGAACTGGCGGCAGTCCCGGCATTGCCATTGATTTATTTCTCAAAAAAAAAGAATATGGTGATTCTGATATATATATATATATATATATATATATAATATATATATATTATATGCCTGTATTGAAATTAGCATATGCTGGTGTGAAATATGTACAGATAAATGATCATTCCCTAGGTTGGTTGCCATATGAAGGTTAATTTATCTTGTATATGTATATTCCTTTTTTACAGTTAAAAAAGAGAATTGAGGATGTGTGCTTTATAAATAGAATTCTCCATTTGTCAATTCTCTTTGTAAACGCTCTGAGAACCCTAATTAACTGCTAAAAACCTAGATCCTCATGATATTAATTACAACCTGCAAGTTTGTAGAGATGTAGGGCGGCAGTTTAAAGAGTCCAGCCAGAAGCTAGGATGGCCTTACTTTAGGGCCTTAGGTTCTTTATCAATGCACAAAACCTAAATTTCTGCCACCCTATTAGAGCCCAATTCGGTTTTGTGTTGCCCAAACTCCAAAAAAGCGAAGGCCAATTTCTGGGATATTTTGCATCCGAGGAAGCCTATTGATTTTCCCGGTATCTTTAATTCTAATAAATTTTTTTTTTATTGCCAATAAAAGGCTAATTCGGAGAGAGTTTGTGCGGATGATCAAACTCATGACCTAAGCTATAATGATTAACTTCGCAAGTGCTCTTTACTATTGAGCTACTTCCGTTCGGATTTAATTAAGATTAATTTTGTTAAAACTGAAGTTATTAAACATTTTCCATAAAAACACAAATTTTTACACTTGACCATTTGTTGTCGCATTAACAGAATTACTAGATTAAGCAATATATATATATATATAATATATATATTATATATATATATATAATTCCACATTTTGATTTTTTGCTCCATATTATATTGTCCTCTCCCACCTGAAACCGAAAAAAGTGTTTCACTCCATTGATTATGATAGAAGGGGTTTGTTTTGTTTTGTTTTTGTTTTTGTTTTGTTTTTTTTTTCTTTTTTTTGTACTATCTGCAATCGGAAATGAAATAATAACAAAAGACATCGCAAGGTTCACATTTTTTTTCAAAAAAAAAAAAAAAAAAGCATCTTCT